TCACTAAAAAAGTGAAATGAGTAATGGGTCCAGAGGTGGGCCCATTTTACAAAAACTCTTTAAATGCTTGTAACTTCATTGCCATTTGAGCCAGACAGAAAATACAAATGTTTCCTGAAAGACCAGAGTTGTTTTAGTTATTATTTCACAAAATTTAAAATAAATACATTAGGCCTTGCATAACCTTAGTCCATGTAGGGTTAGGCCACTTTACAGGGCATCTACAATATAACACAGACATCATAACAATCAGATGATCAGGATAATGGCTTATCACCACTCTAAGATGATCAGTAGTTAAACAGGCTGTCCATCTCTGAACTGCTGCCTATTTGCTTCTGGTCCTTCTGATGAGCAGCAGGATCGTGGGTGGTGGACTGGATTTGCAGCAGTTTCTCAGTTTTTACGGTTCCAGGCAATTTCTCTTGATGCAAAGTACAATCTTACTGGTGTATCCATAACCATGGCTTACTGCACACAAAGAGATGGAATTAGTTATAACATATACGCAGTTGTGGTGCCTACAGCCCTACAGAAGAGGAACTAGCATCTTTAAGTGGCAGGCGATTTCAAATGCAGCGTTTCTATCAGCCCAGCAAACACACAAACTGTTTTTGTTTTTGTGGGGTTTTTTTTCAAATGTCCTAATGAGGAGCTACTTTTTACTTTATTGTTTTTAATACATTTCCAAGCCTGTACTTTCAGTAAAATAACTTCAGTAAAATAAGTTGCCAACGTTAAAAGTACTTTTTGAAAAGTACTAATGTATTGAAATCTGTATTAACTGTCCACTCTTTGGTATTCATCACATATTATCTGCAATATAACACCACTGCCTCAGTCTTACCTCTTGTAATACAGAATAAAAAGCGTCATCTGGCACAAGTTGATAGACATGTGACGAAGTTCTTCTTGCAGTGGACTTTTCTGGTTCTGTTTTGACAACAGAATTAAATCAGTCGATAGAACCAATTTCTACTCAATAAAACATTTATATTGCCTTACATTATTATACGTTAATTGATAATGTATTTAATAGTGGTTGATCTGAATACAAATGGCTTTTAACAAGTCATAACAAGTCTCACCTTCATTTACTTCAGCGTACTCCTCTTCTACGA